TACTAGCATTCTTTCTTAAATGGACTCATTCATTTTAGCAGAAGTGATAAATGAGTAATGGTGAGGAGTTGGGAAAATATGTGCCAGCAGAGATATTGGTCCCATAAGACGTATTCAATTTGGAGATTCATGCCTTAAACGTATTTTAAAGAAACTCCTTCTTGAATAAAACTATATAATACAGAATAGTAATGTGAGGGGAGAAAGGCAGTCCTCAAGGTTGCTGAGTGAGAGGAAAAAGCGACACCCTTTATTGGAAGCACACAAAAGATTCAACATGACTCAGAACATAATCTAAATTACAAAATAGGAATTTTACTGTCCTTGTGTTTTGGAATAACTGTACTAGTGAAAGGAAAACCAATTTATTATCAATTATCTTAAGAGATTATGTAATATGTTGGAAAGAAAAGGGCTCTGGAGTGCATTAGCAGCAGGTTTGAATGCTGGCTCTCCTCACTGACTGTGTGACCTTACTTTCTATCCTACTTAGTATTCCTGGGTTTTGCTTTCTTCCACTGTATTATGGCATAATAGGTAAGTAATTAAAATGTGGGAAAGCTTAGAATACAGTCTGTGTTCAACGAAAGTATCTATTATTGTTCCTATTATTACTATTACTTAAGACTCACTTATTACTACTACTATTACCCTATTACTCATGATAGGACTTCATGGAGAACAAATATATTTTCAGGATGGGGGCTATAGTAGGATTTACCTCTGGTTCCTTCTCCTAAAACACTGGTAAACAAACCTGAGTCCTCAAAAAAGCCTTATTTTATTACATAAATCTCCTTGGTTCAAGAGAGTTCATTAAGAATGATGGCAACTCTTGTCTGTTTCCAATATGTGTGGTGATTTGGCTTATTTAATAAAAAGCAATGTCAAATGGCCTTATAATACTCAATAAATAGGCAATTTCTTTCCTGATATATGCAAAATCAATTTTGATGCAGGCATTTTTCTATATATCAAGCCTGGTATGGAAATTTTTTTCTAACCACCCAGCTGCTACAATGTTAAGTAAATTAATTTTAATCTTAAATCAGAGATGTAATAGAAAAAGGGGTGATTTAATATGCAATCTCATTACATTTGACAGGCTTATTTATAAACGATTTGCCCCACATTTTGACAAGCATAGTTAATATGTTAATTAGCTTTTAAACAGATGATGAAAGGAAGAGACTGACACGCTATCATTCCTCACACACCATGTTGGGGAGCACTGTAATTGATACCATAAGGTAGTGCTAATAAATACTGTGGCCCCCAAAAGCACTGTGATCTTGACGAGATAATTATTTATTAGCTACAGATAACTTAGTCACCTTATGTTAAAAATTAATCCCTTAAAATGATCCCTAGTGACCTTCTGCTTTAGAAAATAAATGCCGCTCTAAACATATTTATAAGCTTCTATAAAGGACTACAAAGCTTATTTAGAGCAATGACCTCCATGGCTAGAACACAGCTCCCTGACAGGGAGGAACTAACCACACGGATAAGCTGCTTTCGCATCTGCACTTCTCTTAATGTGGCTCTCGGTGCTTGCTAAGCCTTTTTGGTTTAGAAGCTTAAAGATAATTTCCTATGCCTTGACTTTCAAAGAGTTATAAAATCCAAGAATTAAGAGAAGTTATACACGAGATAATGTCCAATTCCTCTGCTTAAAGCCCCCTTCACGGAGGGAGACAAAGGTATGAAAACTGTCGTTCTTGATGAGCGCTCACTGCACAGCGTTCACACCACGGGGCTGGAGGCCCAGAGCAGGAAATCATGACACGGCGGGTTCCGATTCTCAGCACTCGCTGCCGAGGTTAATGCCTATGTGTCTTCATTAATGTTTTATTGCCTGTGGCTATTTAAACGGAAAACTGGAAAATATAACAGTGTGTAGGGATCGTTAGGTTTTAGTTACTACCCTACTGCCCCAGGATGGTAAATGAACTGTAGAAATAGCCTGAAACAATTGCCACCTGCCCCCCTGCTATTGTCCATGGGTTAATATTTGCGCTTCTCCTTGGTGCAGCTGAGCCATGACTCAATTAGAGTGCCATTTCTAGGTCTTCACATACCCAGCATCGATCTCATTTATTATGCAAAAATCAGTGCCCTGTGAACTTCTCTCTAACTGGAAAAACACATGTATTTTTACCTGACTTAGTGGATAATAACAAAACGACTTTTAGGAAATGGCTTGGAATGAAATCAAATTCAGAATGACAGGCATAGCATAGACATAGCTCAGATTTTAGGGCTTGGAAATGAAGAGCCAAGAAGCATAGGAAACGGCTCAAGCATAACACATTTATTATTTGTTTTTGCCAATAACTATTGCATGCACACAAAAGGGCATTTGGGGCAGTCTACTCTTTTTCTTTTAATCCTCACCTGGGGATATGTGTATTGATTTTAGAGAGAGAAGAAGGGGGGGAGGGAGAGA